TAGAGCATCACAACAGTTACTGCTTGTTTCAAAGCGTTGTACTGATTTGCTGCCTGTGTCCTGCTAGGAGGCGAGGGTGGAGGAGGGTGCTAACCTTAGCATCTCACCAGGGTGTCCTTATCTGACTTCAACTTGGTTGAAGGAGGGCAAAAAGTGGTGAGGTCTGAGCCTGGCCCATCTCCTGCCTGAGGCTGCTCCTTCTTAGATGAAGAACTGGGTCTGTGGGCCTTGTCCTCTCCTGTGCTTCAGTCCAAGGTCAAATGCTTTGCACAAAAGTACCAAGGAAATGAAAAAATGGGCTCAACAGAAGGAAGAGCATCTACAGCACAAGGGAATCTTTTGCCAGCTATCATCGTTTCTCTGGTGATGGAAACAGCTTCAGCACTCTCTGCTACATCAGTCAGTCTTTGACCTCAGCTCTGTCAGCTGAGAAAATGCTGATGTGGGCAGATACCATGAGGGAAAGGGTATGTAGGGTATCTCTCAGAAATCAGCCCAGAGGTGCCCCCTCGAAGTCACATCTACAACTGCCTTTTTTGACTCTTGGTGATGTCTTTGATGTGCAAGTGGGCTTGCATGGGCTCCATGCAGCTATGTCTAGGCTGTGCTTGTTGAACCACCTCATTTTGTGCCAGATTATAATCTTTACTATTTTAAATCTAAATCAAGACTGCTCAGTGTTCCAGTGGAACATAATACAGGCAGACAGGAACTGCCTGAACAGCCTGGCTGCTCAGTTTGCAAAGCAGAGGACTTCTCCAAAGGTCATAACTTGATTGCCTTTGGTCTTTTCTATTGGATGTCTTTCTCTAACCTAAGAAGCATTGCCATCTTTCCTTGGCAGACCACCTGAATGTAAGTTCCACTCAATAATATTTCCTTTGGAAGTTATTTTTCAAGCACAAAACACAGTTTGATCCAGGAGCACATGTGGAGACAACTGAGGTGATTTTCTAGAGAAGTGTTGAGTAAATTCAGGGCCATGGGTTAATTAAAAATGGTAGAACTTCTTCCTAATTTGGGAAGCAAGTTGGGGCTGGAGTATTTCAGATGGAGATGTGACAATGCTCTCTGGTACCTGGAGTCTAAATCTCCATCTTAGTTTATGTTTTGTCAGTAGAACTGCTGGTCCCTTTCTGGTGGTATGTCAGCAAAGACAAAAGGAGAAGAATAGACAGCTGATGTTACCATGCAGAGTCATTTTAATGAATAAAGAGTGAGAAGTTACAGAAATAAGTTTGCAGCTTTACAAAAGGGTCTTCAGCAAGTAGAGTGGGTCTGATGCCAGATGATGATTTCTCTTCATGGAATTTGTCAGTCCAGGCATGTTTCTTGCTCAGAGTTGCTCATAAATTCTGATTACTGCCATATGAGACACAGAGTGGATATGTAACAGGAGCTTCTTTCCATGTTGTCTTTGGAGAAGTTCGTAGTTGAGCAAAGTGGACTTCTTCATGGCAGTTCAAGTCTGATTCTTGTTGACATAGAACCATATATATCACTATAGCAACACAAAGTGGCTGTAAATTAATTTAAAAGGAAATTTTCTAACCCACCTAGTGGAGTAAAGCAAGACTTTCAGCAAGGTGTAAGGATGCCTCAATACTTGCTCTAGTTCAAATTGCCCTTTAGAGTGATAGCAGAAGAGATAGAAATATTAGAGGGTTACATATTGGGTAATGCAGCCTGGCACCCGCATGTCTCACTGAACACAGCCAGAGGTGTGGGTACCCAGCATTTCTCAGCACCATGAACTTAGCAAAGGATCTGTCTCATTACTTTACTGCCTTTCTGCTGGTTTAGCATGGATAGCAGCTTCAATACCAGTATCTGTGGCCAAGCTGAGAAAAGAAGGGATGGCGGTGCCCAAAACCAAAGAAGTCCCCATGCCCATAATAACCCCCATGAGCGCTCAAGCTCCTGTTCCCATACAGGCTCCCAAGGCTTCTGTTGTAGCCATAAGGGCTCCAATGTTGGTTGTAGTCATGGTGGTGGCCCCAGTGGAGGCCATATGGGTGCCTGAATCGGTAGTCATTCAGGCCCCAGAAACCATGCAGGTCTTCCTGGCAGAAGGGTGAGTAGTGCTCGTTGTTGTAGAATTCCCTGTGGAAAGTCATTGCTGGTTGTTGGAGGGAAACCTGAAACACACAGCAGGGAACAGAGTGAGTCCATATCCTCACCAGAAGGCTTTTCACCTCTTAGCCACCTCGTTTGTCTGTTTAGCCTTCTGAATCCCCCCAAACTTTTTTCCTCATGTAGAATCATAGAATGGCTTGGGTTGGAAGGGACCTCCCCAAGGACCATCCGGTTCCAACCCCCCTTGCCACAGACAGGGCCACCAACATCCAGATCTGCTACAAGTCCAGGTTGGCCAGTGCTCTATCCAACATGACTTTGAACACCTCCAGTGATAGGACATCCACAGCCTCTCTGGGCAAAACACAGAATCTGACAGTACTTAGAAAACGCTCTATTTACCAGCTGAGAACTGACATGCACATGTACTTTTATAGCATGCATACAGATATATACACACAAAGACGTATCAAAAAGAATAGAGTAGAGGCAGTGTGGACTTACCCGGTTCACTGAGGAGAGGAACTCGAGAGAAGCGAATGAAGCTCTGGAGTTCAAGGTCTGTATATATACCCTCTCGAACTCCAGTGTTAGCTACACGATGGATCTTATTGCGTGCAGTATCCCTTCAACTGATGTAATCAGAGTCAGTGATTTTCATATTTTTCAAATTCGATGTAATGACACACCTGTAATACCTCCAGAATTTCTTTCATCTTAAAACAGGAAGAAATAGGCTCAGCACATTTTTAGTAAAATTGCATGGAATTCTTTGTAGTTGGGTGGATGGTATGTTTAGGCCATTACCGGTTGCGCAATCTGTGTGTAGGTGCACCATTTACCTGGGATTCTCATTTATGGTACAATGTGGAGGGGAGAAGAGAAGGCTTTTTCTGTTGTGTTGAGATGTAGTGTTCTATAGATAATCTATTCGGCAATGCTGTGACCTGTGATTCATGCCTGGTGATATTGGTGGGTTTCTCTTGCCAGCAGTGTTAGTTTTGTTCCTCATTCCATAGCTCTGATTTTCAAGAAACTTCTGCATTTTTGCTCTAAGAATATTCCCATGTATTTCTTCCTATTTTGGAAAAGGATTTTTAGCTTTTGACTTGTATAGAACATACAGTGCATCACCTTATTAGGACACAGAAACAAGAGAGCTTCTATGTTGTAACTGACCATATTATTAAATCTGGTGGTGTCTTTTGGTGACAAACCATTAATATTAAAATACTGCAACACTTTGCAAATTGAAAACATTAATGAGTGTTTATGAAGAGCTTTGGTATTCAAAATTCTGAGGATGCCTCAACATTCTGCTTGCTCATTATTATTCTTACTTTATATTCAAATTAACGGAGGAAATTAGGTGAAGGTCATGCAAGGAGTTCTGCAGAAAACTCCAGTATTTTACATGATTGTACCACATTTGATACATGTTGATTCTTCACTAAGAAAATACAAAAACACAGTCTTGGAAGGCAGCATTTAGCAAATCTCCACAAATCCTTATCATTTATTATTTTCCAGTCCTAGTTCGTGCTTGTTTTCTTCATTTCATTCTGCTGAGCTCATGATCATGTCCTCCAATGAATTAAGGTGTAAACGATGCGGTCGTCTCATTTTTGTTGAAGACATTATTTCTGCTTACGCAGCAGCATGACTTTTGTTCACAATCAACATTCTGGAGGAATGCAATTAGGATTTATTTGTTGGCTGTGCTGGTTCTGCAGTTTGCTCAGTAGCGTAACAGAAAATTCCATAGGAAGACCCTGCCACTATACATCAGAGTTTCTGATGTAAGAAGATTTTATGTTGCAATGAAATTTCCTCTCTCTCTAATGGCTTTGGGAGCTTACAAATGCCTTTATATTACATTTAAATAAACTCAAGTTTTGACAGAGAAGACAATAAAATGGTATCAGGAATGTAGTTGACCTAGAACATTGTAAGATGAAAGAAACCTGTAATATGTGTGACATAAGTGAGGCTGAGAACACACTAATAATCCCAAACAATGAAGAAAATTATATTAATTGAAGATATGATGAGTACAGGCAAATTTGTTTTCCAACCAATAAGGCTACAAACCTTTTGAATATGCAAGGCGTCTTAGATAAGCCACCAGAGCAAAGAAACAGTATAAAAAGGGCTCTGAGCTCCACACTCTCTATCAGCTGTCTCACCTTCCTCCTCCTGGTGAACTCGGTAAGCCTTCATGAGAATTAGAAATATTGGCTTAATAAGTTGTTAGGATTATTGCAACTTCTTGAATTTTGAGGTTTCGCTGTCTTGTATCTGTGCTTACAGCTTTGCAGAGTGGGCAGGTTCAATGCTTTGGTGCTGCTTTAGATGTTCTGATGTGTGCTAATGACTTTGTAGCTTCTTGGGTGGGCTGTTAGCGTTTGCAGATCCCAGTCTGAAGTCAGTGTGGACTGAAGCTGTGGATCCAGCAGCTGTGGTGAGTCGTTATGGCAAACACCATAAGATTTAAGCTTTACTTAACCTTAAAGCTCTTTACTTTTAACTCTCCTGAAGACTGTCTTGACAAATTTGGGAATGCAGAGCTTTACACAAAGCTGATACCCTAGAAGAAATTTAGGATTGATAACTCCTCACCTTATTCACTAAAAATAATCCTGAAGCAGAGTAGGGAAGCTTGGAGTTGTTAAAGGTCTGTTCCCAGTTGGTAAGCAAGTAAGGAAATGAAATGGTTTAAAATTTTTGGTTAATTGGGAAAAAAAATCTGATGATGGTAGATGGATAAAGTTGAGAGAAGGGGAATGGGAGAAGAGGTGTAACAAAAAAAATTGCATCTGTCCTTGGCCCCATGGGACCACTGAAGAGGGCTTTGGGCTCTGAGCTGTGACTATGAAGCATTTCTCACTTTGGCTCTTCTTTGTGCTGCTGTGTTCCAGGTTTGCCCTCAGTGCAGAAAGATGACTTTCCTCCACGATGACTGCTACTTCCCCAACAGTTACAGGGGCCTCCACAGCTACCGGGGCTATGACTACATCAGCCCCTACAACTACAGGGGCTTTGGTGGCCTCTACAACTTTGGGGACCACTATGGCCATGATGGTCTGTATGGTCACTGGGGCTTTTATGGCTCTAGGGACCATTATGGCTTTGGAGGTCTGAACGGTGGCTATAGGGGCCTGTATGGGGACTGCTATGGCTACCCAGGCTGGTACAGCAGCCGCTACGGTCACCACTTCGGTTCACGATACGGTCAACGCTACGGCTACGGGGGCTGGTAAACCCAGCAGGAACGGTGCTGATATGTGAGGACCAACCCCAGTCTGGAATTACGGCGAATCTCAGCAGCATCTTTCTAATGCACAGAGCCCAGTGACAGCAGCTTCCCTCTGCGGAGGCATTGAGGCTCTGCTCTGCTGCCCAAGTGCTGAAAATGAATGATCTTTTCCTTCTCTGTTTGCTCTCTTGCCTCCCAAACTCTCCTCTTCGTCCACTGCTGGAGCAAAAGCTTGCTTCTCCTCAGCACCCATTCTGTACAAACTCCAGAAATGCTGCTGGAGAGTCTGGCTTTTGTGCTTGTTGCAGTGATGTACAAAATATATTCTGAATGAATAGTACAGGTGTGGTGTACCGTGCCTTGCGGAATGTAGTCTTTCTATTCTGGAATATATCTGCCTTTCATATTAAAACCTATGCTTCATCAATACTGTATTTCTGTGTTTTTGTTTTTTTTTGTTTTTTTTTTTTTTGTTTGTTTGTTTGTTTTAAATTTTTCACTTCCATTTCAAGAACACCACAGATGGGATGTCTGAAATTTATCCTTACCTTTGTGCACTCCTGGATTCTGTCACAGATCCTTATCCTCCTGACACTGGGAAACACAACTATTTGCAGCTGCAACAAACTTCAGCTGCACCTCTGCATTTTTCAGCAGCTCCACACTCTAGCTTTGTGTGTTTCAAACCAGTGGTTCATTTAAAATAGTAGGTGCTCCTTTTGGACTAATGGGATGTGATTAGGACAGGACTCCTCAGCAGCTGTGACCTGTGACACCAGGTACACTGGAGCCACATCCATGCTCCTTTTCCCATGGAAGTTGAACTTGGTGATCTTTTTAAGGCTCTTTTCAGCCTGTCCCATCCATTCTCCCTTTTTCCATGGAAGTTGAACTTGGTGGTCATGCAAGTGATTGCAAACTCCTCTACTTAATGGGTAATCCTGATTTAATTTTGGAAGAAGATCATGTTTTATCTATTAGGGGTTCATGTCCAGTGATTCCAAAGGTAAGACAGCAGGGCATTTTTGTCTGCAGGGTCATGGGAAAGAGCTCAGAACCCACAGTGTGGAAGACAGTTGGATCATGACTGACTTTTCCCAACTTTTTTTTTTTTCATTGACCTTTATGGGCAGAGGGTTGACTTAAATGAATGACTGCGGCTGTGTGGTGAGGATGATGACGGTGCTTTCCTCACCACTTCCCTGGCCAGTGGCTATGGCTGCCAAGAGCTGCCAAAATGCCATAGGGATGATGAGAGCTGTGCACTGCTTTGTTTCAAAAGATGCCTCTTTTTTTTTTCCTTCTTTTTATTTTTTGTTCTCTCTCTTCAGGTTCTTAGTCCCTGGATTTAGTTGGTGTATATTTATATTAAACTCCACCAGCTGCTAATGCAATTTGTCTCATGGATGGTAATAGGGTTGGAAACTTATCTGCATGAAGAACATTTCATGGAATCAAATCAGAGACTCATAGAATGGTTTGGGTTGGAAAGGACCTTTAAGATCATCTAATTCCAACACCCTGCTATATATAGGCAGGGACAACTCCCAGTAGACCAGGTTGCTCACAACCCCATCCAACCTGACCTTCAATGCTTGCAGGGAGAGAGCATCTATAACTTCTCTGGGCACTCAGTTCCAGTGTCTCACTACCCTCTCAGTAAAGAATTTCTTCCTAATATCTAGTCTGAATCTCCCCTCTTCCAGTTTAAAACCTGAATTTTGTTCTGTAGGAATGTGCCTACTCAACTCACCTGAACATTTTTTATCTATTCTCTATAGAGATCTGGGACATAGTCTTCTATTTTAAAGAACTATAATGAAGACACTCCCAGCTCTATTATGCTAAAATATATTAACTTTCAATCTGGAATAGGTTCCATTTAATAAAGGCAAAAGAGGAATTGTGGAATTCCTCAAATTTCTGAGGTCTAGAGTGAGGAATACAGCACATTTCCTTAGGCTAGCTGCTCTGCATGCGTTCAGGGGCAGAAATTCCCTCCTGAATGCCACTGCTCTCCCCATATCCACATAACCAAGGGACTGACAAAAGAGGACTGAAACTTGGATTTTTTTTCTCACACAGAGAATTTTAATGCAATAAGAAAAAAAGTTGACACAGATACAGAAAGATTATAGTTTTGGCATGCTGGAGTCGATGAGTCACCATGCTATGCTGTACAGAACATTCTTTTTTGTTGAAGCTGTGTTGCTCGTTCTTAAGGTACTTGTAAATCCAGATCAAAGGAGGCACAGCCAGAATGCTTCTCCATTACGCAGTGCTACAGCACCTTGCTGCAAGTGCTTAGTGAAAATGCAGATGACCCGGGTTAGTTTTTCCTGCTGCAGAAGTTCTTTAACAATGCTGAGGCAACTGGAAGAAGCTCCAAAAGAACTGCAAGTTGTTCTCACCGCTGCCAAAGGGTTCTAAAATGCAGGAGACTATTGAGAGAGCTCATAGCTGAGGAATGCAGGAAGAAGGAAAGAGAGCAAATAATATAGAAGTGCTGAGAGATCCTAGAAAGCAGCCAAGCTTCCCATTTTTGGTAACTTCAGCTGCTGCAGGAGGGGCTCAGCACTGCTGAACATGTCGCTGAGATGAGCCAGGTCGGGTTGGGTTTATCAGTAGCAGCACCCAGAGCTGTAGGAGCGGTACGAGGGGTAGCAGTAGCGGGTGTAGCAGCTGCGGTAGCTGCAGGGGCTGCAGTAGGAGGTGTAGCAGGGGCTGCAGTAAGAGACGTAGCAGGGGCTGCAGCAGGAGCTGTAGCAGGAGGAATAGCGGGGTCTGTAGTAGGAGCTGTAGCAGGAAGAATAGCAGGGGCTGTAGCAGGAGCTGTAGCAGGGCCGGCAGTAGCTGTAGGTATGGCGGGTGGTCCTCACGGTCCTGTAGCTTGGGGAGCAGCACACGTAGTAGCAGGACATCTTGGTGGAGGAGGTGGGAGGTAAACCTGCAAACAGCAAGAGGTGAAGGGGGGAGCTTAGCTTGTAGGGAGCAGCAGTGGCTTGTGGGTGTGAGGATGGGGGATTTGGAGAGGTGCTGAAAAAATCTCTCAGCCTTGGGATGTGCTTTTGACATCCGTTTTTATCCATCCCGTTCCTGTCTAGGTTCAACCCTGAGATAGTTTCTATTCTATAGGCTCTATTCTTAAAATGTGAACGCAACACCTTGTATTGTTGGACTTAGGCTAAAGGAGATGCAGCCTGCAGATGCAGGCACCCAAATGCAGGTGTTTGAGAGCGCTTGGTGTCTGAGCTCCCAGGATGGGCAGCTGAGGTCAGTCCCTGCTGCAGCTTAGGGCATGCACATGTGGGTGTCCTGATGGCTGACAGGAATCCCACATTGTGTTTTCAGAATGTTCTTTAGAAACGTTCATGCACAGTGCTCCTGGTTTGGTCCCATCTCTGCTCCAGCAGAGCCAGCCAGAGCAGGGTGCTCATCACCACGGCCAGATGGACCTGCTGACAGATTTCTTTGGAGCACAAAATCTCCTTGTCTGCTTTTTATCTCAAAAACTATTCCTTGTTCTGTCTGACACAGATTTCTGACTTTGGTTAATGCGCCCTGTATGTGCCAGTTCTAGTGAGGATACAAGCAGAACAATTCACATGACGTGCCTGCATTCATCATTGCAACATCTTTCCATAAAACAGCAGTTTCTACTTTGCCTAATGCACAATTCTGCCCATTATCCAACATTTCAGCCAGTGCTGATTGTCACCAAGTCAAAAGAAACAGAAATATTTTTTCTCTGCCTGTTTAAATAGAACAGAGTAGAGCTATTTCTTCCTAATACATAGAGATAAAACTCCTTTCAAGGCTGAACCAACGATACCCAAATCCCTTTTTCTCAGTGTTCTCCCATCAATGCCCTCTTATTTTTACTGTAACAGCTCAAAAAAGTACAGGACACAATATTTCTACCCTTGTTACAAATCAGAACATGTTAGTAACAGAATAATTTCTATATTAATGGAAACTCCAAGTGAATGAATCAGGTCTGCACTCACCAAGTTCACCGAGGAGAGTAAACCAAGAGAAGTGGTGTGAGGAGCTCAGGGTTGGGAGCACTTTTATATGATTTCTGGGACTCATGGAAATCAGTGCGGTTCTCTGCACGCTTCCATTGCCCGGTAGTCATGGAACAAATATCGGAAGCAAATCACCAGTTCAATTGCTATAATTGTTTTCCTCGACGTTTAGGACAATTTTCAAATTCCTCAGGTAACAAATTGTGATTACAGTGCGTGGGGTTCTTTCATCTCCCAGCTTTTAAGGACAAACAGCTTTCTGGGAATGGACACAGGGGAGGACTGGGAATGAGATGGAAGATATGCAGAGCTGCGCTGCCCATGGATGTGGGGAACCTGTCAATGTATTTTCACATTATGCCCCTACAAGGGAGGCAGATACCGCACATTGTAAGGTGACTTGAAACACCTGAGGTGGAAAAAGACATTATAGCATGTGTTTAGAGACTTTGCCAAGAGGTTTGATTCATTTACGTCACAATTAATGACAGGCGTTCCATTGATTCCTTCAGGTTCTTCTCCTGCCTATAATTTGGCATGTGCACTACGAGGAGAACGGGATCAATTAAACGAGCATCCAAGCAATGTGTTAAAGGCTTAATGTCTTTTTTTTTTTTTTTTTTTTAGTTTATATTCTTCTAGAATTTCTAAGAAATCCTTAGAAAATCTTGCACAAATCCACATCTCATGGTGTCCCAGCATTGACTGGGGCAAGCCTTACTGCAGAACGTGGTGGTGCAGAACGTAGCCGGGCTTCCTACCAGATTTCCATTGGGAATGTAGTTGGGAAAAGAGAGAGAAGGATCCCGCAGGAGGGCCAGGGATATTGGTAGGATGGAAATTGTTCTTCCCTGCAGTTGGGAAGTGGTCGCTGGGGAAGGTGGTAGGAGGCTGTGCTTGCAATGAGGTGCCCAACCAGTCTGTGTCTTTGCAATGAGCTACAATGGTGCAAAAAGGCAGCTGAGGTGCTGCAGTTCCCTATGGCAATGGGGGTTCTGCTAAGCTCGAGAGGGAATAATCAGTAGTGAGAGATTTGTGGTGGTGCTGCCACGTGAGATGCTCAGCCCAGGAGGTCCCATCCCCATTCTGCTGATTGTTGTACAACATCACAGCTCCTGACAAACCTGTGAGAATTAAATAATACA